CTAGCCTTCTGGAAGAAGCTGGGAAGTGAGGCCAGAGGAGGAGGGTACAATAGGGGGAGCATGTGCCTTTCCTCAGCTGAGTGGGGAGAAACCAGCACAGAAAAAGCAGAACCCCAAGTTGGTGAGAGGTGGGATGTGACAGTGGGGTCCTTGCTTGAGTGATGAAGGAAATTAAAATCAGAGAAAAATTGGTAGGAAAGAAGCTTTAATTGACAGAAGAGAAGATAGGGGAAAGACTCTGGCTTGGGGGAACTGGAGGGGCATGCCAAAGCAGGAGGCCAGCTCTTAAGGGCTCAGGTGGCTGGGGTCCAGTTGATTATCCTTTCTGCTCTGGTTGTGTAGCTCAGGTTGCATTGAGTTCCCTTGGGAGGGTTCTTCATGGCTTGAAGGGCTAGTCACACAGAACAACACCACATGTTCTCAGTTGTACAAGGCTGAGCTGGAATCCAAGGTGACCATAGCTCTAGGGCAGTGGAGATTGGGGTGTAGTTGAATGTCCCTGTATATCTCTTACCCTGGTGCTGCCAGCCTTGAAGTGCAATGAGATAGACTAGGTAAATCTAGAACTAATAAATCTTGTTTTGCCAACTTAGACTAACATTCCCTAAACGACTAACATGTCTAGAGACAGAGCTGACAAGGATCCGACCCAGAGTTTTGCAAAATAAAGGTCAAGTTTTGTTTTGCTTCTAGTTACCTGTCAGGCTACTGTAGACCCAGTGAAGTCACAGTTTTAATGAAACAATTTTAGAGCTCTGACTGCCTCAAAAGGAACTTATGTTTCGATAAGTAGCAGGTTAAGGGCCCAGGAGTTTGTCTGTCCCCTGACTCTACGGAGGCCTCTGACTGTGTCAACCAGATAGTATTTTTTTTTAAAGCCCAGGCCACATTCTCCTTCCTCCCTTCAGCTCTGGGAGTCAGGAAGTGTCCTGGATGCTGTAACCAGAAGTCCTAATGACAGAGGAGAAATGCTAGATGTCAAATATGCCAAATTCCTGGCCCCTGAAATTGAAAAATGAATTGTAAGGAACAACCGAGGTTAAAAGTAGGAAAATTGATTGGATAAAAGGCATGGGGAATAGGGATAGAGGAACAGGAATAACTCCCGAGAAACAAGAGGGGTCCCGAATGGGTTGACAGTGAGCCCACCCCTCAAAGGAAGCTTTACAGAGCAAAATCATGAGTAACGTACAACATGGGTCAAAATTATCATCAGCCAATCAGGTTGCAAGTTGAGTTGCAAGGTAATATTGATCTAATGGTAGCAAGGGTTTGTGGGTGACAACATTATCATAGGTCAATAATCAATGGTCTTAGTCTTTAGTCTTCGCAGACCCAGTCTTAGTAGAGGGGAGAGGATGGCCCACCACTGTGAGATAATGTCACCCAAAAGGGTGACATTCATCCCTTAGGGAAGTAAGTAAAGCTAGCCACTATTAGGCGGGGTGTGGTAGCACATGCCTGTAATCCCAGCACTCGGGAGGCTGAGGCAGGAGGGTGGTTGTGAGTTTGAGAGCAGCCTTGGCTAGACAGTGAGCTCAGGACCACCTGAACCGCATAGACCTTGTCTCAAAAAAGACAATAAATAAAGCTGGCCACTGTGACTTTAATGTTCAGACGTTCCTCCAGCCAGAGTCCTGAGGCATCTTCATCTCCTGCACTGTCTCCCTCCACCACCCAGTCCTGTCTGACTGCCTAATATATTTCTACCTAACTTACCTGTCTATAGTACTAATAGGGGAAGAAGGACAAGACCAGGGTTTAAAGAGAATGATGAAAATGACAGACCTTTGTGCTGGGATTACAGGTATGAGCCACCATGATGCCCGCCTCCCCCCCAAAAAACAAGTTTTTTTGAGACAGGGTCTTACTTTGTAGTTTTGGGGTGGCTGACTCACTATGTAGTCCAGGCTGGCCTCGAACTCCGGGCAATCCCTTGCCTCAGCCTCCCGAGTGCTGGGACCTCAGGTGTGTACCATCATGTCCTGCTCAAAGACAGTTTTTCGTTGTGCAATTCAGTTTGCATGTTTGTTATTTTAGAATACTCACAGGGTTGGGCAACCATCCTATAACTGTTTTGAACATTTACACACACACACACACACACACACACACACCCCACAAAAGTCCTACTCTTCCTAAGCCAGTGCACATTTTGCCTTTTCTCCCCCACCGCGCAACCACAGGTCTGCTTTCTGTCAGTCAGGCTGATGCTGTGGCTTCCACTTTCAGAGAAGCAAAGCCAGGGCTCGCTGGAGAGTATACACAGCATCTGTGGTGTAAGGTCACTGTGGCTGTGGCTGTGGCTGCGGCTGTGGCTGCCGTGTGAGGACCAGGCTGTGCTTTATAGTGACTATCAGACAAGAGGGTGTGGCAAAGTCTCAGATGCTCCTTAAAAATAGGCAGCAGAGACTGGAGATGGCTAATGGCTTCAGGGGAGTTACAGATATGACATAAAATTAATTAACTTATTAATTTATTTATTTGGCTAGGGAAATAGCTAAGTAGTCCAAGTTGCCGGCCTGGCAAGTGATCCGGCTGACACAGGAAGATCACTGAGTCTGAGCTGTGTGGCAAAACCATGTCCCAAATGAATGAACGAATGAATGAATGAATGATTAAAACAATTAGGGCTGGCCAGATAGCTCAGCGGACTAAAGTGCCTGCTTAGGCAGACTCAGGGACCAGGGTTTGATCCCCGTTGTGTGGTGCTGGCCCCACCCCCGGGGCACGCTGAGACAATGACTTAGACTGGGCATGGTGGTGCATGTCTGTAATCCCAGGGCTTGGGAGACTGAAAACAGGAGAATCACTACAAGTCTAATGTGTGTAGTGAGACCCAGTAGACCCCATACTAAAATATATTA